AAAAAAACAAACAAACAAACAAAAAAAAAACACCCTAACATTGCTGAGCAAATAGAACTCTGTAAAGTTCAGACTTAGATGATCATGAGGCAAAAATTAGGAGTGTGTGCCCATACAGCCAAGGATATATATTACAAAGAACAACAGCGTTCCAGAAAGACACCGGAGTAATCACCAACAGGTTAGACCTGTAATGAGCAGTGAAATACTGGAAGGTAACAAAAGTTCTGAACAAGTTTCACTTCTTGGATCAGATGCTGTATTGTTAAGGGATCAAAAAGATAAAACCAGAATTGAACACATTCCACACTTGTCTGTTTCCTGCTAAGGGGAAGAACCCCACAAAAAAAGGGCAGAATAAATCTTCCTCAAAATGGACCTGAAATCCAAACTTACTGAAAGAGAGAAATCAGCACCATCTTATTCCAAATGAATTAGTTTCCTAATCCACATAAATCATGTGATGGGAAGACTCAGAGATTGTGAAAATACTGCTTTAAGAAATGTGAAAATAAAACAAGGAAAAGCATAAACAAACCAGGAAAGGTGCTAGATGATTAGGGAAGGATAAACATTGTTCTTGCTTTCCTAAGAGGAAGAAGGGCCTACAGAAAATGAAACAAAAGCGGAAACACCCAAAAAACAATGCTTGACCTGACTCAGATTGACTTCTTAAATGTTCTTATTTGGAAAAAAAAATATTCTTATTTGAACACAGAGAGAGCTCTGTTGGCCTAGAGGATAGAAAGTTATACGACCAAGCCAAAGGTGGGTGATTTTAATCTGTGGCCTTCCAGCCTGGTTTTAATTATTTTTTTTGGTCAAACATTCTTCATAGTGGTATAGCACTGGTATGTCCATTTGCTGTACAGAGGTAACTCGTGGTTGCTAAACACTGGGATACTGATGTGTCAAATGCAATAATGGTTATCCATGGTGGACAGTGTTTGATGGAGCTCCCGATTAAAACAAGCTTGGAAGCTAGAGTGGCATCCACTTCCGAAATGGCTTGCTTCTGGAAACTCTATGTACGTGGAGAAACAAAGTTATACAAGTGTTCAAGTCTTTCGTTCATAGGGTCACTATGAGTCATCTACCACTTGACAGCACTTAACAACAACCACCACCACCACCTTTGAATTGAGTGAGCCCAGTGATACGTAATCCGGAACAATGACTGAAGAACCGCTCTAAACAATCCGTCAGGGAGACTGACACGGACGCCAAGCAACATTATGGAATACGTTATTAAATGAAGTGCATATGAACACTTTCATCAAGACCAAGCAGAAGCTCACTAGCAGGTCTTCACATTTTTGTTTTCAAATGTTCCAAAGGTACATACAACCATACAGAGCGGGAAAGAATGAGGTTCCACAGGCAGGCAGATTTTTGTTCTCATGACAAGGAGCCTTTCTTCCCCTCCTATGCTCAAAGCTCATTCCTCTACCGATCCCTTCAAATTGCTCATTACTGCCTTTTGAAAGTCGTCTCGGATTCCTCTCCTTCAGTCACTGTGTTCTCTGCTAGCTCCGTATTCTGTACATCTATCACTATGCTAATCAAGAGAGGCTTGCTGGTCCAAGAGCCAAGTCTTGAAGTTTGACGGACCCAAATTAATCAAACCTCAGTTTTATGATGTTAAGAAAGTTAATTGATCTTTCTAAGCATTCATTATTATTAGCATGTAGCTCCAAGGGAGAAAGACGGGCAAACTCCTCTGGTGCTATTTACGGCTTTGGAAAAACTGCTGGAGGACCCACGGAGTTGTCTGCCAGTTAAGGGCAATGAGTTCGAGTTTCTATGATGTTTTGTTTCAGCTTCTCTATTAAAATCTATCAATTCCATAGTACTTAAGTCAATCTTATCTCTAAACCTTTGATTTCCAGATCAGTGTGCCAACTACAATGCAGCTGTTCTCCAAATTGCAATGAACTGGTTACCACCATATGGTAACTGGGACTGGACCACATGCAAACATGGAAGAGGAAATCTGTGGGTCAATGGCACACATGATCAAAATGAGGGCAAAATGAACACTTTGTCTATAACTTCGGCAGCAAATATACTAAAATTGGAACAATACAGACAAGATTAGCACAGCCCCTGTGCAAGGATGGTATACTAATTTGTAAAGTTTTCTGTATTTTTAAAAAAAAAAAAAAACACAAGCAAGCAATAAATGTGAAGTGTTCTCCTCCCACCTGTACCCATCAGATGACACCACGAATAGTTCTGGGAGTTGTTTTCGGAAGATAGGATCATCAGAGATTTTACAGAAAAGAGAATAGCCAGGAAGGTTATTGATTAAAATATGAGGAATGGCTGAAATGTTAAATCCTTTATACATTTTACCTTCTTCAGAACAATCTCTTCACTTTTTATAACAGTGTTATATAAGATTTTATCTATCACCTGTATATCTGGCTCTGTCCTCATCAGTAATCTATGTTGCTGTATTACTTGCATTTCCCTCAAATATTTATTCTGATTCCACTGTGTCTGTACAGTATGTCCAACTGGTCTAAAATCTTTCTACTACTTCTTTCTGTTTTTGTCTAATTTGTACTTCTCCTCTCAGACTAAGTTCAAAAGTCACTTCTGAGAAACATTTGTGGACTCTCACATTTTCTAAGATTGCTATATCCGTTTTATGTATTTCTAGAAAATCCTAAATAGATTTCTCTTATGTTGTATATTTATTTACTTGACTTCCAGCTTTAGATCATGTTAGTGGTGGGACTTTAAAAAACAAATCTTTGTAGTTTCAGTGACTGAGGAGGGCATTGGTACACAGAGTAGGCATACTTAGAAGGAAAAATGAAAATATGAAATCATACCTTCATGTAGTGTTTGAAGATGTCGGCAGCTGCATGCATGTCAACAATATCATAGATGATAAGCTTGCTGAAGGCAGCAAGGAGATTCCTTCTCTTATGTAAGGCCTCAATTTTATTAGCTTCATCTTCTTCATCACCCTCTAGCCATAGAAAGGAAATGATAAATTTTAGCCTGTTGTCCAATAGAGTAATTAAAACAAGCCTAATAATATAACTTTACTAAGAGATAAAATTAAATTTTAGATGGAAAAATTATACAGAATAATTATTTGCAAATTTTGGTTTAGTAAACACTTAGAAGGGAATAAAGTTCCCATTTTATGGGACAGTATCATAGCAAAGATTAGCAAGAGAAGCAAACCAAAAAGAGAAAAGTTTTTTCCCTCCTGCTATTTTATGTCCTACTGAGGGAGCTCTGGTGCCTAGTGGCAAGAAGCTGTGCTGCAATCCCAAAGGCACAAGGTTCAAAGCCACTAGCTGCTCCACAGGAGAAGGATGGGCAATCTCCACCCATGCAATTAACTGCCTCTGAAAACCTGTTAAAGAGCCAGCTATAGGTCGGTTTCAATTCTATGGTACCCACCACCACCACCACCACTTTGTTGATGCTGTCTGCTTACTTTCAAAATGCTCTTATTTCAACATCTTTTATGTACTTAAACCCATTGGGAAGAAAGCACAGAAATTTTAAAACACAAGGAAAATGTTTTCTTTCAGATATTTATTAAAGACTAATTAAAACTAGACTGGACTCACTTGCAAAAAGCTTCCTCTCTTCTCCTCTTCACTTGTTTAAGAATTTACATTTATCTTCTCTCATTTAACCAATTCTTTTTGTTGTGAAACATCAATACCTTGTGAAGTTTTAAGGTATGTAGCTGGTAAATTTTATTTCCTGAGATTAACATGAACTCTAAACTTTGATTCAGATTTAGAATCTATTTCACAAATATCCAAGTTTCAAAAGTACTTATTTATAATTGTTATGTACCATCGAGGAGAATTCACAGCTGACCCTCTAGTGTGTTTTCAGAGGCAGTAATCACATGGGAGGAGACTGACCTTCTTTTCCTTGCAGAGCAGTGGGGGCTTTAAATCACTTGCCTTTAGGCTGGCAGCGCAACTCATTCCTACAAAGCCAGCAGAGCTCCCAATTTCGAACTCATTATGTGTTAAGCACCATCGTGTCGGAACCGACCCACAGCTGACCCTCCAGTGGGTTTTCAGAGGTAGTAAACTGCCCATCTTCTCCAGCACCCAGTAGGTGGATTCAAACAGTGTGCCTTTGGGATTGCAACACAGCTTCTTACCACTAGGCTACTAGCTGTTAACAAATCAGTCTAACTTTGCCAACTTATCATTCTTCAGGTTCACCAAAATTTGACCGGCAATATATATTAATAGTCTTTCATCATTTAGTATCTTACATTTATGTGTATTTACTGAAGTAACAGATTTGATAATCACTTAGGGAACAGAAAGGAACAAGGATTCTTTCCTTTGGAAAATGATAAACCTGGACTCAGTGCAATTGTCAACAGGCAACTCTGCTGCATATACATTTGCAAATGTGGGAAATGACTAGTGGACAGGGATAATCATTATAGCAAAGTTCCGTAAAACACAAGATTGGAAAAAAGCCAAGTACCAAGATTGGGTAGGCTTATCTAAATGATATTGTATCCACACAATGGGGTTCTTGTGGCTTAGTGGTAAGGAACTGCATTGCAAACACAAAGATATGTGGTTCAAATCCACCAGCTGCTCTGCAGGACAAAGATGGGAAATCCCCACCTGTGTGATTTACTACTTCTGAAAAGCCCCTAGCGGGTCAGCTATGGGCCAATTCTGACTCAAGGGTACACAACAACAACCACACTATGTTATGTAGCTTTTTTGAAAAAGAGTGAGGAAGCCGTCTATGTGTATATGGAAAGATCTCGAAGGTATAAGGTCAATGGAGGGACAGGACTTAATTGTGTATATTCTTTTTGTTCCCTCTTGTTGTTTGTGAACTGCATAAATGCATTACTGTTAAACTTCTATTTAGACAGAGACATACACATATCTTTGGGAAAGCAAAGATAAAACAAGATTAATATTGACAAAATGATAGGTACAATACCCATGCTCTGGTTCTCCTCGTCTTGGTCAATGAAAACATGATCCATCACAAAACTGAGTAGCTCGGATTGGAGTCCGGTATCTGGATTAAAAACCAAAGGCTGAAGGCCCTCTCTGCCACCTGTCATTAACTGGTGGCTGAAAATCATCAGAAGGTCACAGAGCAACATGAATGCCTGGAATACAAAGAGAATTCATCAATAAAGTACTGGATGAATACAGCCACAGTACAAGTTAATGTTAAGTAAGACACACTCAAACAGTTCAAAAGCAGTACCATATAGGAGTTTCAAGCATGTACATTTTGTTACAATTTGCTCAGCCCTTCTGAAAATTTATGCCTAGAGGAAAAGATAACTCTGACTGGAACCCTGACAGTCTAGTGAATTGTGTGTTGTAATGCTAAAAGAAAGGCCAGCACTTCCAATCCACCTGCTGCACTGTGGGAGACTGATTTACAGCCTCAGAAACCCAACGGAGGGTCGCAAGGGTCAGAGCTGCCTCCACTGCACTGGGTGTGTGGCGTGACTCTGCACGTCCAGCAGCAGTGACTGTGTAATCATAAAACACATGCAACTGTTGGGAAAAGAAGTGTCCCTTGAAAAAAAGGGTACAAAAAGAGCTTCTAGAGAAATAGTCCTCACTAATACATTACTAGCTTTAGTTATCACTGAACCACTGAACTTATGGTTTAAATGGCCACAAACTGCAGGCACAGACATAAATATGGAGCTCCAAATGTGTACAGAAAGAGGTGAAAGGGAGATCACTTCTGTTCCATTTTTAGTGAGCTGTTGTTATGTGCCATCGAGTTTCCTGCAACCCTACAGTGACCCTACGTACAGCAGTTCTGAAGCCTGCCCTGTCTTGAGGCAGTCTCACTAACCCCTAATTGTCCCAATTACTCTATCAATCCACCTCATCCAGGGCCTTCTCCTGTGCCAGCCATCCACCCTTCCAAGCATGATGTCCTTCTCCAAGGATCCGAGACAGAGCTTCAAAATTCTAGCCTTCAAGGAGGAACTTGGTTTCAACCTCTCCAAAATAGACCTATTTGTTTTCTTGGCAATCCATGGTTGAAGATTCTTCTCCAGCACAACTTGAAGGCATCAATTCTTCTTCTGCCATCCTTCGTTCCCATCCAGCTCTCTGATACATAGCAAGTAACTGCGAAGATCATGGCTGGATTAGGTGCATCTTAGTCTTTAGACGACACTGTTTTTCAGAGCTCTGGAGAGATCCCCAACAGCAGATTTTCTCAATGCAATTGGTCTTCTGATTTCCTGACTGCTGGTGCTAACTAAGAGTGTTGACTGTGGAGTTGAGCAAGCTGTAACTTTAGTGAGTGAGAGTACTCAATGTCAAAGAGCCATAGTTGACTGGTAATTGGGTTTCTGAGGTTGTAAATTGCACAGGACTGTGCCCACCTTCGTCTTGAGGCATCACTATGGGTTTGAATGTCAGATAGGCTTGGCCTTTGGGTGAGCAGAGCAACTCTGTATGGACTACGCTTCCATAGCTCCCGTATTCTAAGTTAGATGGTGCTAATAAGAAGGTGTCTAAGATGGTTTGTAAGTAACAATAGCTAGTGAAGGATTAGTGTTACAATGCCCTTCACTATACTGAAAAGATGCTTTTTGTCCAACATAAGAACATGTATGAAAACGGTGCTCGACATAAAAGCACTCCCTAGTAGAACACTGTATTACAAGTGAAGAAATAGTTTACAACATCACTTCTGGGAAACAGTACTGCAGTGCAGCTGACCTGTCGTTCAGCGTGGCTTTTCCAGGCCACTGCCCTTGATGTGGCTACATGACTAGATGGGAACATGCAAACAGGATGCGTCAGTTTATCCATGAGGAGACCGGTTAGTTTTGCCTTTCCACCAAGTTTAAAATGAGCACGTTCAGTGGCAGAAATGCGGCAATCTCAATACTAGCAAGAAAGCAGCACTCAGCCTTTGGGCCCATAGATTCCTGTGCCACTCGTATGAGACCTGCAGGAAAGCAGTCACCGCTGTAGCAGAGAACTAGAGACCTGACAGAAACTGTATCCTGCTGGCAACCTCCGTTGTAACCTGTTACTTCTCTAATAAACCCTAGAATTCCGACAGGATTCTGTGAGGTCTGTGTAGCTATTGCAACTGATTCTTTTTATAATTAGTAGAAGGAGATGAGAAAGTGTAGGTGGAGGGGCATGTCTGACCTCATGGGAATTGGTTTTGTGTTGGGAATGTTCTTGATGGGGACAGTTCCCTCTTGTGGAGTCAGCAGAGATCAGACCTGGCCATCCCCATGCCATTCTCACTCTTTTTACAAGTGCTGTCTCTGGTCCCTCTGGCTGCCCTGTCTCTCCAAGGAGTAAGAAGTCTGTTAGACCAACAGGATGTGCCTGCCTGCCTCTCCACAGTCTATGGAAATGCAGCTGGACATTCTTTGCCCTTAAAGACTTGATCCTGCTGCCAGACCTCACCCAGGTCTTTCCCTGAGTCAAGCAGCATCTCTAGTACATATACGTCTAGACCCTAGGATAGTCATGTGGCAGCTGTGGGGGTGAGAGCTAGAGAAAGTGTGGACACACAGGCTGATGTGTGCACGTGCATGTGTTACAACGTACTTCCTAGTTTGGGGAGGTGCTGATGGTGAAGATGAGAAGCAACCAGGTCACCGAAGGAGAAAATTCTGAAAATAAAAAATACTGAACCTGAACCTGGCCATGCAAGTCATCATCAGAGCATATATGTGAAGCAGTTTGTTAGTTTGTTTTGAAACTTTCAGACATCTGGGCATCTCCTTGTCCCACATACTGTGGAAATAAGGGAGGACCCTGGATGCTAGGAAGTCCAACAATCTCTAACTGTTCTTCAAAGCATTTTAACTGTCCTGAGAGCCGCCCACTGCTAATTTCTTACCTGTTCCTTCACGGGAGTATTAACATTAGATAGGCACTGTTGGCAAACAGCCAAAAAGGATTTCACGGTTTTCCTCAATACCAACAAATCCTCCTGAAAGACATTTAAATACACAGGTATGAATTACAGTATGCTAGAACACTGATCTAGAAGGGAAAAAAAAATACATGAGAAATAGCTGAACTGGTTTATTTTCAACATAATCAACAAAACCAAACTCAATGCCAGGAGCCAGTTTATACAGGAATTTCCCAGTTATCCAACATATAGTTCAGCAAAATGGATAATCCAAGACGACATTAGTTATGTGTAGCTATGGAATGCTCAGTATAACAGCCCTTCAACAGATTTTCTTTAGAAAATGGTTTATCTAGGCTGATGATATTCCTTCTTCACTCCTCTAACACACACACTAGCTCATAGTAAAACAGGGTTGTATTGTACACAATGAAAAAGGGGGGAATCAATGAAATGTACTCTACTTCTCCCATCCTCTACTCAGTGAAGATTTTAAGAAAGTGTTCACACTCTCAGTTAAGTACTGAGCTACAGAGTAATTAAGTCCTCAAATATTTTGCATTAACTCTAAATGCAGCAGAGAGAGCTGGTTGGCAGGGCCTTCAAAGGACAGGCTTTTACTTCAGATTGGTTAAATGAGTAGGTTTTAATTAGATGATCAGATGTTCCATACAGAATAACATTTTTAAAATACAAAGGGAAATGTGAGTTTATTAAGCACCTATAATAATTCTGAGGGTTTACATTATTAGAAAATTTAATCTTGATAAGGATTCTGTGAAGTAATAATTATTAGCAAAAATCTGAAGCCAGGATTATGTCATATTAGAGCTTGTGGTTTTCTCACTGTCCAAGAAATAAGACACGTGCAGATACTCAAACAACACTGAAGAATAATGAACATAATTTTTTAATAAAAAATTTAAGGTAGAAATCACCTTTAAAATGTATTCTAATGAAAATTTTCTTGAAGCCAAACTATACATTTCTTTTTAATCTTCCTACAAAGAAGTATTATATTCTTTTCTTTTTGCTAATACTATTGTAGCTATTAGTAGAATGAACTTCTCTGTAGTCTGAAAAAGACACGGTCTTAATAACCTTTAAACATATCCAGTAACTAAAGTTAAACATTTTTTGTTGTTCTTTAATTTCAAACATTTATAATACAGTGAGAGAAATGACAACTGCAAAATATAATAAGTGATGATAATAAAGCTTTTGGAAAATCCAAATTGAGACACCAAAGTAATTAAGGGATAATTTCTGAAGAAGATAGGCTAAGTCCTGAAGGACAAACACTAATTATCTAGCTATAGGCAAAGGTGTTCCAGAAAGAACAGAATACGTTCCAAAGCTTAGAGGTGCTTGTGAGGGATTATTAACAATTTACAGGTGCTGGGTCACAAAGTAGGAACATGAAGACAGAAATATGAAGAGAAAATAGCATCTGTTTTATGGAAAACCTTTTAAAGTACTATATTAAATCATTTGGAAATAATCCTGATAGCAATGAGAAACCACTCAAGAAGATCTTTTACATAGATTTGCTAAAATTGTATAAAAGACCCATGCTCTAAACATTGAGAAGGATGGCGAACGGTAGAAACAATCTACTCTAACTGCATTATATTTAACATCCCACTAACTCTACAAAGTAAGTGACAACAGTCTCATTTTACAGATAAGAAAGCCACGATTCACTTATGTATTGTAAGTGATAGTGCCAGCACCTCCATTTTGGTCTGTCTGATCTCCAAGTTCATGTTATTAATCATTAATATGTATTAAGAAAGGTCATACGAGTAATCCAAAATTGAGAGCCTAAATGGGAAAATGGTGGCAGTAAAGATTTGAATAGATATAAAGAAAACCAACAGAATTGACAGAATTTAGGAATAAGAACAATGGCTGTTGGTGATTATTCCCAAATTTCTAGGTAGTCACCTACTTAGATTGCAATATAAATCACTGAGACAGAAAGGAGAAGAACAAACAAAACTAGAAATAGTTCCCCTTTAGAAAGGATGACTGATTGAGTTCTCTAAAACAAAAACCTCTAGTAGAGATGTACTGTAGGCAGTTGGATGTCTGTGTGCAAAGTCCAAGGGAAAGATTATAGGCAAGAAGAGATTAAGGATCCCTCAGCACGTAGAAGGCAATAAAAGTGATTGAAATGGATGAGAAGGTGCTAGGAGAATATGCATTAAAGGCTTTTAACAGCATCTTATAACAGGGAACACCAACATTTAAAAGAGAGATGGAGAAAGAAGAGCACATGAGGAAGTCTATAAGAAGCAGACAGAGAACTAGAACTTTAAAACCAGGAGAATATTTCATCTCATAGGGAAGAAAAAAAAGATATTTAAGAACAGATGGTAGTGTGGTTTTTTTTGGCTTTGCTTTATTTAAAACTAAGAATTTTCTTGATTATAGAAAACTACATGCAATTTGAAAATTGTTATTTAACTTTTAAAAATATTCAATATGGTTATAAACAAGCATTCTATGGTTAGCATCTAATTTTTCATTAAATTCCACATAAACATTTTAGCTCTGTCCTAAACTTGAAGACTGTAAAGATGATGATTCTGGCTGACAGTCAGCATATGCAGTTGGCTGTAAGATGATGGTCTAACAGAAGTTTCATAAGCCTTCTTTTCTTCCCAACTCTGAAAATATATGTCAGAGTTATGCAATATGTCTTTAGGCAAGAATGTTATCTACTTTAACATTTTTTTATACTTAAAAAAGGGATGTTTGAAAAAAAAAAGAATAAAAGACATATGAATGGTAGTAATAAAAAAGTATGGGAATAATTCATGACAAATACCACAGACACTGACAACAAGGATTAGAAAGTGTCCTAGGATGAAGTAGTGAGGAAGCTCTTGCTGTCTTTGAAGAGTACTTTCAGCTGACGCTAGATTTTAGTAGATTGAAATTAACATAAGGAGCCAACTCTTTCCAAACAGTTTGATTTTAAAAAAGTTAAGACGCTGCAAGAGAATGATTTTGGGATTAACGTTTTTGACTTCTTGATAGAAAAACAAAATAATCTAAAGTTATTACATAGTAACACAACTAGTTCAATTTAAGCAGATACACCCAAAGACAGAGGAAAAAGTTTCAAACTAAAGCAGTGTGGCTTCTCCAGAGTCTAATCATAACCATTACACTATTAACCAACTTCCCAAGCCCATTGTCACTGCACTGATTCTGATGTATGGCTCTACAGAGCAGAGGGTTTCCTGGGCTGCACACTTTAGGCAAGCACACTGCCACATTAACCCCTATGGAGCTGCTGGTGGGTGAACCGCTGCTCTTCTTGTTGGCAGACGGGCACTTTACCACTGTGCCAAGAGAGCCCCTTCATGACACCATACTAGCTCATCACTGACCATTCAGTGGCTGCAAACTGTACATGTGGAGACTGCCCATCTTCTTCCTGTGTCTTTGGTTCGGCTGTGCAAATCCTTACCGCTAGGGCATCAGAGACTGTGTGATAAATACATCAACTTGAAGGGCAGCAAAGAGGAAGACATTTGAAATGCATATTACTCAAATTTATCTATTTATTAAATTGTTGTTGTTGCTGTTGTTTGCCATCAAGTCGAGCATGACTCATAGTGACGCTATGAACAAAAAGCCTGAAGCCTTTCTATAACTATCGTTGTTTCTTCAAGTTCATAAAGTTTCCAGTGGCATGTGGTTTAGAAAGTGAATTCCACTCCTGCTTCCAAGCCTGTCTTAAACTGGGAGCTCCACCAAACACTATCCACCATGGGCAGCCATTATGGCACTTGACAACCCCCTCCCACCCCCGCAATGGCACAAGGTGCAACATCACAGCAAACCCAGATTACCTCAGTACAACAAATTAACAGAAGAGCGCTGTACCATTTAGAAGAATGTTCCTCTAAATTATAAAAACACGAGGCCTAAGGTCCACAGGCCCGAGGGCCCCAATTAGTTAAATACAACGGCCCCTTCACAAGGTTTTCTTGACTAAACAAGAGGCTTAAATAAAAAACAACCAAACATTCCACACGACCCTCAACCAAAACAAGAGCGCCCAACTTAGAGAGTCCAGCTGTAGTCACCCAGTCTCCAAAATGCAGCCAAGGGCTGGGCTTTAAAGACAATGGAATTGGAAAAACAACAGTCCATGAGGCCACCAGAACTCCTACTGCTGATTATACAGGTTGCAATTTTAGGAAACTAGAATGTTTAGGGTATCTCTAAGACTTTAAACAGAGATGACTTTTACCCAAATAGATGTACTTTCTGGCTAACTGTTAGAGGCCACTAGTTGGTTCTAACTTACACTAACTGCATGTAAAACAGAAACACTGCCCAGTTCTGGTCAGAAGACCTGGCACCTACGGCTGGAACTGAAGGCAAAATAGTGAACAGAAGATAAAAGGAAACAACACTTCTCTCTGTTGATATAACCCATATGCTTATGATTCTGTTGCTTTCCTTCAAAGAATCAACACTGTCCCCTCCTCAATCAAACAAGTATTTTATTATTTTCTGAAGCATCTTGATCTAGAGTACCTTTTTCTGGATTAGCTGAGGAAAGGAATTCCCAAAGGTCATAAGTAGGAGCATACTGAGATTTAAGTCTGTCTCTTGAGTATATTCTACTGTAGTCATTTAAAAAGTTGCTTCACTAGGTTTTCGGCTTCAAGTGAAACCAAGAGTCAGACTACGGGAGCTTACAAATGCCTAAATATGAAGGGTTGAAAAGGCTTTTAGTTTCCCAGTGATCTGAGCCCAGGGTTAGGGAGCTGTGGTGGCTACTCAGAAGCCGACTAGGCGGCTAACAGTGTCGACTCTGTAAGTGGCTCAATGGGAGAATGGTGTACAGTCTCTTCTTGTTAAGTAATAACTTACAGTTTCAGTAACCTGATGGAGGGTTGTCAGGACCATGGGAATGTGCAAAGATTAGAGAAGAAGTCTTTTTAATGAAAAAGACAGTGTTACACAATTAATCACACAATTTCTCAAAGCTACTCTCCTATCCTAAATTTGGATCTTAACTGTAAATCCTCTCTTAAAAGCCAACTAAT